TTCCCCCGTCCCAGCCTCTCCACCTTCTCTCTGACCAGTCACCACCTAATACAATTTAAGTCAATAATATGGGTTATGAAGTCTCCATTCATAACACAAATTGATTCTGTACTTTGAGATTCAAAGCTAAAGCAAAAGATGAGGTATGTAGCTATTTTTACCCAGGCACAGAATGTATGATTCAGTGGTAAAAATTCCCATGTGGCTTTTTTTTTTTGTAAGCTAAGGTATAATTTGCCCCAAATCCACAAACCAAGACCTTAAGATTATTTAATTCTTAATTTTCCCCAATAGTGGGAATGAAAGATCAACATTGCTCTTTCTAAAAACAATTTGGCAATATAAATCAACAGTCTAAAGAGCGTCTGTACTCATGGTATGTACTCAGGGAAATAGGAAATAACCAGGGATGCAGGCAGAGGTTTAACTACAAAGATGCTTATCAAAGTGCATTAAAAATAGAGAAAATTTGGGGAAAAAACATCTAAGTGTCCTGCAATAAGAACATAGTTAAAGCATCATCTTTGTATGCAAGAATATTATGCAGCTATCAAAAAGCAAGTGAGAAAAAGTATAATAATATTAATGTACTCAAAATGAGAAGCTGTCATGAGTAAAAAATTAAGATAGTATACTTTCTTTATACTATGATCCTGATAATAGAATGTTTATGCATAGAATACACACTGAAAAAAAGATGGTGAATTATATTGGTAGCTATTGCTGGGTACTGCTGATTCTATCTCCAACTTTATATCTTTCCGTATTTTCTACCATGTCTACAGTAACCTAGCGTTCATTTTACAATCATAAAAAAAATAATAAATACAACTCAAAGGTATTGTAGCAGGTTCATAGGAAGAAGCTGCGACGCGCTCCGTATATGTAACTTTTAAAAAAGTAACACATTAGCCTCACTCGGGAACTCAAAGCCCCTCCCCAGTGAGGAAAATGCCCTACTGGGCTCTGGGAGCTTGGAAATGTAAACTCCTCAGGGTCTTGTCCCACACAAAGGAGACATTCTCCATAGACAAGAGGCTTACGGAATCCCTGTTAGTATTCAGATGCCTATCCCGTAAAACATGACCTAGCAAGTCTCTTTCAGTCAGATCTGAAAGAGGGGCAGAGGGCCCCAGTTAACCTAATGCGTCCAGAACATGTCTGCAGCTCTGACAGGTGCAAACAACTCCACTTGTCTAAATATAAATTCACTTAGGCAGTTTGGGAACAGTCTTTCCCACTTTCTATTCTGATCAGGCAAAAGAATGTTCTCTTCTTGAGTTCTGACTCTTGATGCTGGTTATTTATATTTAGAGGCACTTTGCAACAATTTTTATCCAAAGAGAAGGAAAAGTTAGGACTCTAAGAAGAAAAGAAAAAAGAGATTTTTCTTCCAAAATCTTGGATGAAGATAAGACCTGGGTTTGGCTGTTTTTGAAATGTGCTCAGTTGAGAAGGAGATAAGATATTAATGATATTTTCAAAAACTTTATGGATGAACAGCAAGCTGATGTTAACCCATGCATAAAGAAACACCGTCTCATATTTAAGCCAGAAAGGAGCCTTATTTTTTAATCAGCACAGTGGAAATTCTTTGGGGGAACATATAGAACTCTGCTCCTTTGCCAATTCCTGCCCTGCTTTCTCCCGTTACCCCTAAACTCTGACTCCCCCTTCAGGATCCTGTTCGATGCTCACTTCCTCAGCTGACCCTCCTCACTCCCATCCCACCTCCACAGCCACACATAAGCAGTCTTCCTCTTAGCTCCCAAAATACAGAGAATTAACCTTCCACACACATTTATTCTACATCAGTACTTATTTGCCTAAGAGCTTCTTGAAAGTTAAGATCGTATTTCACTCGTTTTCCACTTCAGCAGCCAGGTTTATAGTAGTTACTCAATAATGTGTTAAATGAATAAACAAATGTGTAAGACTGAAGCTGAGCCCAAGTGCAAGGAAGACAGCCACCAAATAGCCACGAATAGCCACCAAAAAGAAAGTTTATGGGAAAATGATAATTAGCTTTGCTTAGCTACTACTAGGATTTTGGTTTATTTTTGTGGGGAGAGTTGGCTTATTAAATGAAATTAAGGCCAGATTAAATGAAATTGAGTGCCAGATAGTCTAAAAGGAACTTGGTATGCATTGACTAAAAGGTTGACACATTCTGTTTTTACTTTCTTTCTGCTATAAAATGACAGTGAGACAAGATTGTGACTAACGGCCAGTCCAGCTCTCAGCTTCTGGGGCACGGGAGTTGCTGAGTTCTGGTGGAACAGAACTTACTTCCCAGAACAGCTGACTTCCCAGCTCTGTTCTGATCTCGAAGGAGACCGTGCTCTTTTCAAACTCAAGGACGCCACACTCCTACCTACCAAGACTGTGGTGTGCCACAACTAAGTTTAGCCCCACTCTCCTGGTCTGAAATAGTCACCTAACCCACAGGGGAAATTATGACCCATGGTTTCCTAGATCCATGTAAGGAAGATGCTTCCAAACCTTAATGCTATAGGTTTGTATTTACTTGTCCCAACTCCTTCCCAGTTTGGTTCAGATCGCCTTTTGCCTGCATTCATGTTGCAACACGGGTTGGCTCTTTATCTCTGCCCACTCCTCTAGCATGCTCGCTACCCTTGAGAAATGTAGCCAACACTTGGCTTAATAAATCTTCAACCTACTCATCAGCTAATAAAAGGGGTTGAGAGTTGGCAAAGGGAATATTCCATGGAAACTGTGTTTGCCAAACGCCTACCAACAGCTGATTTCAGAGGTGGTCCTCTATCATATATGTCCACTGAAAGAGAAGGAAGAAGCTAATAATTCCTCTTCAGATAGGCAGACTGTGTCTTGAGCTGAAGGCTTGTATTGGACTAATGCAACCCATCAGTGTTTCAGTTTTACATTTCTAGTAAAATTAGAATTTGCGCTCATCTCGCTTAAAGCAGAAGTTCCCAAATGCCGTGTTCAACAGAATGAATGTTCATAAAGCTAAATATATCCAATGTGAGGGAATAGCCTTTACTCTGAGACTGTTATTTTGTTTTTGTTGTTAAAGAGTATTTTTTAAAATAAAAGGACGGTAACACAAGACGGTAGGGTTTGTTTATGTTAATGTCTTGGCACTTTAAAAGGCTGACAACCCTCTATCAATTTCCAAACATCACGAAAACTAGAAAACTAGGATCCTCATCCCTGAAGTGGCTAGCTCCGAGCTGAGCGCCAAGGAGATTAATACATGACTATATAAATATATATTTAAATGAAATCATATGAGAGGAAGGGTCTGGTCTCTTTTAGGGTCATCATTCTCTACAGACTTCAAGGTGTCTCACAGAGATCATGGAGGCCCTGTTGGTACAGGTAGTTGTAACAGATTCAAGTCAGGTAATTTCCTCTGAAATGTACCTACCTATATACCTATATCTGCGGTACTCTGGCAGATGGCCCCAATAACAACTTTCTAACGATTTTACTGTATCCCTTTCACAGTTAACACCTGGACCCATGGCTAACACAAAGCAAGCATCCGTAGTTACTTGTTTTCCACATGACCCTTACAGCTGAAGTGTCAATCCCAGAGCGCCTCTACCTAACACGGAGGCAAACACACTTCGCATTCTCCTGGGGCTCCTCTGGGATCCGCAGGTGATGGGGAAGTAAGGGACATCTGTGACCCCCCTGGCTCAAGCCTAAGATAAAGGCGGACCGCGGGACGGTGTGAATGCAACCGCAACTATGTCTGCAGATGTAGGCAGGCTTTGGCCCGCAGGGGCTTTGCTTAGGAAGAGGGAATTTGGCAAAGCCGCCTGCGACCCAGCCTTCTGGCTGTAACGGGATGCTCCTCTGTAGGAAAGTGCCTCTGCCCCCTGGCGCCCGTCCCCAGGCTTCTGATGAAAGAGTGACCCCACTGCCCCTTCCCAGCCCCCGAACTGCAACACTATCACTCTGGGCGCTGGGCCCATCACGTGGCGAAGCGGTGCTATCCCGGACCGCGGCTCCACGGCCATTGGTCGACGGCTCGCGTCCCGAGCGCGCCCATTGGCTGTGGGGGGCGTTCACGTGAAAAGGGTTCCGGGATGGCTCCCCAAGTGGGGAGAGGTGCTGGAAAGTTAAAGGGAGCAGCGCGGCGGCTGGGAGCCTGAGTCCGGGGGACCGGCTGCAGGGACGAGGCGAGCGGGCTGCTCTCGCGCACGGACGGATGCGTCTGCCCGCCCAGGGCGCAGACCTGAGTCCCGGCCCCCCACTCCTGCCGTCGCCGCCTCTGCTCCTGCCACCTCGGCGCGGATGCTGCCGCGGGCTGGCGCATGTGTACTTCGGCACTTATGAGCTGTACTAGGTACGTCAGTCCCCAAGTCCTAGCGTCCCAGTGCAGGGCCGAGAAAGGGCTGCGAGGAGTGCGCAGTGGAGACCTTTGGTTCCTGCCACCTGCACTTGCACTGTCCAACTTGCAGTTGGAGTCCGGGGGTGGAACACTCTAAACGGGCTTGAGTGGAGAGAGCAACCCAGGGACCAGAGGTGGGATGGAGCCTGGCTGGATCCACGTGTTCCACAGAAGTGCGGGTCTGGCCGCGAGGAGTGGCCCGGGCTGGGACTCTCGTGCCGAGTTCGAACCTGGGACACGGCGCTTCCAGCCTGGGACCCGACAGTCCCGGAGAGTGTCCCCTAAATTGGGCAATTGGGGACTGGAGTACAAGAAAGGTCTCTTTTTTTCTCAGCGCCTCGGTTTCTCTGTAATATGCAAGGAAACACACTTGGGCCATCTCTCAGGTCGCCAAGTTGCGATGGGACACAGAGCCACCCCGGTCCCCGGGCAGGGGCTGTCCCGGGACGGCGGGGGAGAGTCTGCCGCACGGGGACGCTCTCGCGGCGCCGCTCCGACCGGGATTGCCCCGCCGCCCCGCCCTGGTGTGATAACTTGGGCTCCTCCCCCTCGTCGTCCTCCTCCCCCTAGGGGTCATATCTCCGGGAACTGAGCGCAAGCCCTGCCTCCCGGACACACGACGCTCACGTAGTCCGGTGGTGGCAGCCTCTCCTGCCACCTCCCTGCAGACTCTCCGATGCAGCGAACCAGCTGGGGAGGGGGCTTCCCCACGGTCCAAAAGGTGAGTGAGGGACAAGTCGAAGGAGGCTCCAGGAGTGCTTGGGGGCGGGGTGCAGGCCGGTTGGACCGAGGGGGGGCAGGGTCAGGATGGCTTTGACCTGTGGGATCTTCCAAGTCTGGAAGCTCTGGCCTGCCCCCTGACCTGTTCATGCCCCGCTTTTGAACTCGGAGAAAGGGGTGTGGAAGGGACTTGCTGTAAAAGACAGGGTATAGGGTCCAGAAGGACATACTTGAAGAGTTGTGGCCTGTCGGGTGTTGTTTTCTGCTCTAGAGGAGAAAATTGAGGACAGGCTTGACTTGAATACTTGGGAGAGTTGCTGAAAGGTGTTGGAGCCTGTGGTCTGTGTGGCCGGGCCTCCTTGGGAGACCCAGGGTCAGGGAAAAGAGACGTTAGAGCTTTGAGCTGGGGTGGGGAGAAGAGGAAATGGTTCATTTGGCGAGGTTGTCCAGGAGCCAAGACTAAAGTGAAGACAGCCTGTGGACTCACCACAAGAGGAAAGTAGAGGTATTTAGGGAAAAGTGAGTGGGAAGAGAAGAGAAGTTAGTGGGCATTATTAGCAAACAAGAACGGCAGAGCCAGAAAGGACCTCAGAGGAGAAAGCTTAAGCCTGGACAGATTCAGTGATTTGCTCCAAGTGGGCAGCACAGGCATTCCCAGGCCAGTGCTCTGTTTCACATTGGGCATTGTCAGGTGGCAGGTGGAGTTTTCTTTCCTGTAATACGCAGCTGTGTGTGTGTGTGTGTGTGTATCTCAAAGATGCTTTAGATGATGGTTACAGGATAGAAGAGTTCAAGCGGCTGTTAAGGCTGTGAACAAGGGCCCCATGGTCTCAGTACAAAGGAAAATACGTCAACTTTATTCATATTATGTCACCCAAACCTTTTGGGGGGGGGAGTAAAGTAATGGCAAAGGGGTAGATGGACATATCTTTTAAAAAAGTATAACCTAGTTGTGAATGCTTACCTAAGGTAGTTTCAGTGTTCCTAGTGGGTTCTTGGTGCATCTGATTTTTCTGCCTTTTCTTATCAGAGTATGAAAATGGAGGACAAATATCTTGGCCTCAATCCCCCAAAAAGTTTATTCCTATAAAAGGCACAGCCAAAAAGTCAGTAGCTCGGCTGTCTGAAACTGTGAAGGTCATGTGGTTATTTTCTACCAGTCTATAGTTTTCACAGGAAAAACCACCATGACATCTAACCTGACCAGCCGTCCTGAGAAGGTGTGTTTTTTGGCACTAATGTAGTGGAACAGGGAAAGTGTTTCTGCAGAACTCTCCCTGTTTTCTCCAATTTTCATGGAGAGCTGGGATTTGCCATCTTTTGACCAGGAACCCTGAAATCTACCCTTGGGCATGGCCCAGTCCCTCGTGGCGCAAAATTGATCTCTTGGGCATCTATGTGGAACCCAAGTGTTTGAGACTCGGAGTAACAGCCACTCGTATTCTCATGATCTTGTCCCGCAGCAAACTGGTATCCAGTCCTCTGTCATGCTCTACTGGTTCAAATATGTGTCTGTGTCTTCTCCTGCTGGCTTTTTCCCTGGCCAAGCTTGGTGACTTATATTCCCTGGCCTGGGGAGAAAGGGGCCAAGCAGCCAGGGAGAGTGTCAGGCGGGGGCCTGAGATGCAGCCTGATGTGCACTGTGATGGCACCTGCTCGTTTTTATGCCACTTGAGGATAAAGCACCTTCCAGATGCCTTCCTTTCAGAGACTTAGGAAACTTACCTCGTACATCTCCACTGCTAGGAGGACTTGTGGGTGATGGACAGCCCTGTCACAGTCCATTGGGGAATTCCTGAGTAGAGGGTCAGGAGAGCTTCCATGAAACCAGAGTTTGGTACACTGCTTCTTGGAGAATGGTCTGGGTCATAAAAGCTGGGATCCACCTGTGAGGATAGGCAAGCGGCCAACAGTCAGATCGTATCCATATGTATGGGGCCACAGGGATTAATGTCCTCCCCTCCAGTTATGGTGACCCTAAAATAGTGAAGGGGACCCTGGGCAGTGATTGCTTGTGCAGTGTCCCTGAGGCAGTAGCCCTTGGGTGGCCAGGTAATTAACTTTATTTTTGCCTTTGATGGAAGAATGTTGCAAAACCAATTAGGCTGTAGAAAGTGCCAGTGGAATTGTATAATTAGAGTTGGCTCTGACCAGGACGTCACCTTCCCACCCCCAGTTCCACTAATGCTTAACAGCTTGGTGATAGAAGGGAGCTCAGGGGCAAATTTACACCCACTGGGTCCAAATAGGGAAACTTTACCAAGCTCTTCAACTAAGTCTTTGTAATCTTTAGGATTAGAAATTGAGAGTGACTTTAAGTGTGCAGATCCTTTAACTGATCTGCTTGTTTTAGAATTCTGTTTCTACGGTATTCTGAGAGTTTCCCAACCTTTTTCTAATGAACTGTGCGGCAAAGCACGTAGGAGGTTGGTTTGCAGGCTTGAAGAGATCTAGAGAAGAAGATAGAGAACTTACAGTTGACCTTGTGCTGACTCAGGCAAGGAAAGGACTGTAGTGGACTGAGGGCAACTCTACCCCCCTCAGGTCACACCCAGGTTGTCGAGTGTGGGCAGAGTGGGAGGGGCTGGGATGCAAGAGTGGGATGCTCACTTTGGGGGTATTTTTAATCCACATTTAATTAAAAAAAAAAAACAAAAACAACTACCTGTGCTAACATTAAAGCTGAAAGTACAATTCCAGTGCAGTCTAACCAATGCAATCTGTCAGTGCAGAGCCCGATGTGTGGCTTGATCTCATGAACTGTGAGACCATGACCTGAGCCAAAATCAAGCACGTCCAGCTCAACCCACTGAGGCACCCAGGAGCCCCTAGGGGTTTCTTTTTACGTTGAACTCATTAGCCAACCCACAGACCCTCTGTAAACGTATCTTGCCTATTTCAGTCAGAACTTTTCCTTTCCAGAACGATTGCATGGATAGAACAGATAATAGAAAGCAAATTTGCTCCTAAAATGTTCACTCATTGGTTTTGTTAGAGGGGAAACAGTAAGACAAGTATCGTTTAAAATGTATGTTTAGATAACTACATTGCGGCTATAATTTATTGTTTTTGCTCTGAATGTGTATGTTTCTCCAGTCAGTTATCACTAAATGGTTCCTGCATCCTAGGGGAAGGGTTATATTTCTTTTGGAAAATGGGATCAAACCCAGTACGTCTTTGTTCTTATTTTTCTTTGTATATTTGATCAAATATACCATCACCCTGAAGCCCCCCACCAGTGGGCAGGAACCAGGGGAGGCCTGAGAGCAAGCAGCCCAACCCCAGCACATACCTTCCCCTTTGCCATGGTGAGGGGAGAGAGGTTTGGAAGGAATCCACACCCTGTGTTCTGCGGTTCACAGACCAGATTTTAATCCTGGTTTCATCACTGACTTCTTCATTAGCCCATTGTAACCATCAAATCAATATAAATTTGCCATGGTAAGTGGAATGATAAAAATTGCTTGACTTTAGCGAGGCCATAGTGTTTGATAGGATAGGTTTTTGGCCAATCTTAAATATTTGAGGCATTTTTTAGATTCGTTTTACCCCTTGATGTGATTTTGGAAAATACAAGAAACACAAAACAGGAAAACAAAGTTCCTGAAATCACATCACCTGGATATTCTAAGGGTTTTAAATCTATCTCTAGTCTTTTTTTCTGCACATATACCTAATATTTTTCTCCCACAAATCTAGTCTATGTACAATTTTATCTTCTCTATTTTTTACTTTGACAGTATATTATTATCCATTTTTTCTATGCCATTTATACCTTTTTTTTCCAAATAATAGTTTTAATGATGATATAAAATTTTATCACTGGATGTGGTGGTATATTTGATTTAACCAGATACCTGTTATCGGTCATTTAGGTTATTTTCATTTTCTCACGTTTTCCTCCCTAGGATGCTGCATTGACCATTTTAGTACATTAACCCCCATGCACTTTTCATTAACTCTTTAAAATGAATACCTGTATGCGATATTAGAACCAAAAATGATCGGGACACCTGGGTGGCTCAGTCAGTTAAGCGTCTGACTTCGGCTCAGGTCATGATCTCACGGTTCCTGGGTTTCCAGCCCCACATCCAGCTCTGTGCTGACAACTCAGAGGCTGGATCCTGCTTCGGATTCTGTGTCTTCCTCTCTCTCTGCCCTTCCCCCTCTCACATGCTCTCTCACTCTCTCTCTTTCTCTCAAAATATATAAAACAAATATGTCAAAATGAATAAATGTTAAAAAAAGAACCAAAAATGAGAAGAATATTTAGAAAGGTTGTGCTGACTTAGACTAATACATGTGTTTATATTATCTTTAAAAAGTCTTTACTAACTCAGTAGGCAACAACAGGCATTGTTTTCTAATCTAAATTCTTTAAGTTGGACATTTTGTATATTTATGGGCCAATTTTAATTTTTTTCAGGAATCTTCTATTCATGTTCTTTGCTCATTTTTCTGTGTTGACTATTTTACTTTGTTATTGTTTTGTAGGAACTCTTTGTATATAAAGGTATTAACTCTTTGCTGCCATGCTTTTTATAAAATGTTTTCTCAGTTTGTCTTTAATCATTTGGTTTTATTTTTTCTCACTTCTAGAAAAATATGGTTTTTAGGAAGTCAGATTTAACCTGATCTTGTAGCATGATTCTCTTTGCCTTTTATTCTTATAGAGACTATTTTCCACTACAGAAAAAACAAATATTCACCTATATGAAAGGTTGAAAACAACTGAATTGTTGGCATTTTTAAAAAGAAAAATATGCTGGAATATAAAAATCTAGGAGCACGTGGATGGCTCAGTTGGTTAAGTGACCAACTCTCAATTTCGGCTTCGGCTCAGGTCATGATCTTACAGTTTGTGAGTTCAAGCCCCACATCAGGCTCTATGCTGACAGCCAGGAGCCTGCTTGGGATTCTCTCTCCCCCTCTCTCTGCCCCTCCCTCACGTGTGCACACACACACTCTCTCAAAATAAACATTTAAAAAAATATTTAAATAAGTAAATAAAAATAAAAACCTACTGTACAGCTTTGTGTCTGTCTTCCCCATTGAATCTCAGTGTCTAGCATAATATCTGGCATATAGGTACTACCAATATTCGTGGCATGAGTTCATTTATTTTTATCCTATTAAAGCCGTCTTTACCAAAGTGTGTTTCTCAGAACATGTGTTCCGCAAGCTGTTCCACAAAAAAAGGATTCCTTAGTTAGATAAGTTTGGGAACTCTTGCAGACCGCCTGTTCTTTTCAGTATTCCCCAAGGCACTCTGGCATGTGAGGCCCCCCAAGAAATCCCGACAGAAAAACCTGTGAAAATAGTTTGTTTTTTCATTTGTTTTGACCCCAGTCCTCTTTTTCACCCCACTTTACAGTCTTAATGTCCCCTGAACCCAAGGTCATGCTGGATCACACTTGAGTTAATACGGAACCACAGCAGAGGGGGAGTGGGGGGTGGGGGGTGGGAGGGGGGGAGAGGGGCTGGGCCAGAGCTGAAGGCAGACATTGTTCGCCAGTCCCCGTTCGAATGAGGAGTTTAACTTCTGTCTGATCTCACGGCCGTTTCTTTCTTTCCCCTTCTGCCAGGGTTCTAGCCTGTTCCTCTAACCCAATGATGGCTGTGGACATAGAGTGCAGGTACAGCTGCATGGCCCCTTCCTTGCGCAGAGAGAGGTTCGCCTTCAAGCCTTCGCCAAAGCCAAGCAAACCACTGAGGCCTTGCATTCAGCTGAGTAGCAAGGATGAAGCCGGCAGAATGGTGGCCCCCACCGTGCAGGAGAAGAAGGTGAAAAAGCGGGTGTCCTTCGCAGACAACCAAGGGCTGGCCCTGACAATGGTCAAAGTGTTCTCGGAATTCGATGACCCGTTAGATATTCCGTTTAACATCACTGAGCTCCTAGACAACATTGTGAGTCTGACGACAGCAGAGAGCGAGAGCTTTGTTCTGGATTTTTCACAGCCTTCCGCAGATTACTTAGACTTTAGAAATCGGCTTCAGACCGACCACGTATGCCTTGAAAACTGTGTGCTGAAAGACAGAGCGATTGCTGGCACAGTGAAAGTGCAGAACCTGGCGTTTGAGAAGACGGTGAAAATACGGATGACATTTGACACTTGGAAAAGCTTCACAGACTTTCCCTGTTGGTATGTGAAGGACACCTACGCTGGTTCAGACAGGGACACGTTCTCCTTTGACATTAGCTTACCTGAGAAAGTTCAGTCTTACGAGAGAATAGAGTTTGCTGTGTGCTTTGAGTGCCGCGGACAGACTTACTGGGACAGCAACAAAGGCAAAAACTATAGGATCATCCGGGCTGAACTGAAATCCTCTCAGGGAACAGCCGAGCCACAGAACGGACCAGATTTTGGAATATCCTTTGACCAGTTTGGAAGCCCTCGGTGTTCCTACGGTCTGTTTCCAGAGTGGCCTAGTTATTTAGGATACGAAAAGCTAGGGCCCTACTACTAGTGACTGTGCGTGACAGAGCGCGGCTGAGTGGGTCCTGGGAAGTCTAGCTGCAGTCACAGGCAGGCAGAGACGGAGCCAGAGAGCAGCTGAACTGCCATTAGGCACAGTTTTTGAAAATGAAAGGATCCTACTCACTTTTTTCTGAAGCCAGCAAAACCCAGCCAGGGTTAGATCTCACGGCTGGTTTCGCACGCCAGGGTAGATGCAGGGTGCTGGTCTGCTCGGCACCTGCGGCAGCCTCGAGGGTCGGAGCAGGAGACCAGTGTGGGAAGGGCCTGGGCGGGAACCAGCCTTGCGGGCAGTGCTGGAGAAGCTGGAGGGCAGTGGCTTCGAAATGATGCAACCAGGAGCGTGATCCGGCTGCCTGGAGGGGCCGCGCCTCCCTCCCCGTGATGTGGAAAATCAGTCACCTGAAAGTCACTCCGTGCTCAGTCGCCTCCCATTGGACCCTTGCGGCTCATCTTTGCGCGCTGTCTGCCCAGCCGGGTCGCCCCCCCCACCTCCCACCCCTTGCTGCTGCTGTTCCGGGTCTCCATGTACTTCACGCTTTATCTCTGTGCTCTTTTTTTTTTTTTTTTGCATTTTATTATCGTCCACAGCTCATCTGATGCCGAGGAAGAGATAAGCAAGGCAAATTAGCCTGTGCCGAAGACAGCCATTTCCTCTTTCTGACCCCACAGAGCGTCCAGCAGAGAACGATGCCCCAGTTAGCAAAAGTAACTGGCTCCAGTGCTGGGTTACAGACTGTGACAGGCAGGACAGTCTGGGTGGGACACGGGTAGCATGTCCGCTTGGCGTCTGGGGGAGCTTTCGAAGTACTCGCTCCTGAGTCACCAGACGGCTCCGTTATAGGATTTGTTTGAACTTGCTCGCTGGTTTGCAGGCACCCCATTCTTCACAAAGGGATTTGAGACTCTCCTTTCCTCGAGAGCCCTCCTTCCTGCCGTGTTCAGGACATTGTGATTTGCAGATCCCATCTATCCTCAAAGCCTTCAGTGGGTGTTTGGTCTAACGCTGACCGTGATCTGCGACACCCAGGCCTCTTTCCGAGCACGCAGGGACTGTGACCTGGGGCTTCTTATTTATGGAGTGCAAGTGCATAAAGGGATCAGGGAGAAAAACCTCACCAAGTTCTCACATTTTATTTTCCATGTTTGGAGACTCTGAAATATGAGGTTACTTGTTCTTAACCATATTGGACTAATGCATTAAAAGTTGTCGGTTCATACTGATGTGAGACTCCTGGGACTTTCATTGACAGATGGATCCCCAGAGCCTGTGAGTTTTCTTGGGCAAGATTGGCTTGTACTTGGGGGTGTTTAAAAAATATTTTTACATATGTATTTGAAGAAGGTTGGGTTTTTTTTTTTCTGTTTTGCTTTTGTTTTTGGAGCTTAGTTAAATGGCTGTCTCGTTTTCCTTTTGCCTGATCTGCGTAAAGTGAGGCAGGAAGAGGGGTGCACAGCTGCCTGGACACGGAGGCACAGCTACTGGCATTGGCAAGCGAGGAGTCGCTTTGGCTTGCGTGTTCCAGACGGATTAGAAAAAAACCTCCTGGCTTCTGTGGCTTTGTCCATTGGTGCCAGGCAGGTATGGAGGGTCCAGCCTCCTAGAGTTTTGTGGTTGGGTTTTTTTTTTTGTTTTTGTTTTTTTCTTTCTTTTTTGAACTTTAACATATTTCGACTTTTTAAATGTTCTTAAGCGGTGTGGTGGTTGATGTTAGTTCTTGTTCCTAAAACTGGCTGTTACTAGTCTGCGACCTAGTGCTTTATTGCTTATGCCTCTCCCAGGTGGGTAGGACTCGGGGATTGTGTAATACAGTATATGGGACAGTCACATTTTTGTCTTGTGCTGAACTTGGGCAGAACTGTGTTTTATTCTAAGCATATCTTACATCAGGCACACAGACGGCACTTTTGTTGTTACGGATCTGGCGACCAGCACGATTGATAGTGCAAATCAAAGTCGAATGGAAGCAAAACTGATTTCATAGAGGTCGGGAATATATTTTAAGAAGTCCTGGGCCACCTCTGTCCAGTCAAGAAAGGTACAGGGTGCACTGTCATTTACATGTTACCAGACTAAAGGTAACGAGATCACTCTCTATGCAAAAGAAAAATGCCTCAGGTGGCTCCCGTTCGTTTTTTCAGTAATGGTGATCTTCAGACATTCCGGGGTCAAATTTGAAATATGGTAATTCAGTAATCAGTATCTCTTAAAACAGCCATAAGCCCTCCCCCCACCATTCTTTCCTGGCAGCTCACCCCAGCTTTGTTGCTGGGGGCACTGGTTGCAACCCCCCCCAGCCAGTACACCTGGGATGCTCAGCCTCCCAGGCAAGTCGTCACCTGCTTGCAAAGACCCTCCCCTGACGAGAGAATGCAGTTCCCTGTCAGTCATTTCACTGAGAAAGGGGCCTCTGAACAGTTGTACTGTCTTTATTCAGCCGTCAGTCCATCTCCCTTTGGCCCAGTTCTGTCCCAGGATATCCACAGATGGCCCCGGGACCTGCTTCAACAGAACCTCTCCTTCTTTCAGAGCTCACCATCAGTAAATAGGTCCACACACAGTGACAAGTTTCTTAGTTGGAGACGTCATTGCAGCCTGACTTGGGGGTTTGACCCTCAGACAGCTGTCGGTTATGGTGACCAACGTCCCCCAGCCCCAGTGCCCTTCCCAAGGTTGTCCCCAAAGGACCAGCCTCCCGCCCAGAAATGGAGAACCAGCTCCGTTTCGTTTCCTATTTATTTCCCAAATACCCTGGGAAGCATTGGCAAATTAGGTGCAATAAATAAGCTGGACTATAGAAAGATACGTAATAAATAAGCTTTCAGTGTTTCTTGGAAGGTATGGAGCATTTGAATGGGTTTCTTTTCTCTTTCTTTTTTTAAGTATTCTTATGGTAGGGGAACTGGTGAGAAATAAGGGGAGTTTACGTAGTTCTCCAGAAATTAAAACCATTTCAGAGTCAAGGTAGAATTTATTTTTCCTCTAAGATTTAATTTTAACTGTGGCAAAACATTACTCTTTTCAACGTTTTTTTAAAGGTGTAAATTGTGAACTGCTAAAAGAATGTTTTTGTGGTTTTGATCCTTGCATATAATTTGCATTTTAAAAACAAGCATTGCTTGTAGTCACTTGGATGTTAAATGGGTTGTATATTATGTTTATAAACCAAAAAAGTGTCAGCTCATTTTTTAAAAGTGCCCTGTTTTCTGGGCTCTTCCCTCTCTGTGAAGTGAACGAAAACCTTGAGTGTCGTCCACCTGTTTCCTCCTGTAAAATTCCTCCCCTGGATGCGTGGCCCTCTGCTCTGGGAGGCGCCCATCACTGATACTGGGAGTAAAAAGTCATGAGCATAATGGGACCTTACAGGGTCCTGGGAGACCTTCTGGCAGGTTCTGTGCACTTCCTGACCGGGAAGTTCGGCTGTGGTTACACGTGCCTTTGCCTTGCCATGGTCGTCAAGCTCGTCGGCCCAAGTTGTAAAGCTGTGAATGTTTTTGCAGTTTGGGTGATCTGATCCCAGAGACCTCTGGACCCGTGAGGACCCCCAGGAGGGCAGCTGCGATGACTGTGGCTCACTTTTACTTCAGTGTGAATGTAAAATGGAAGGCTTGTCTTCATTCAATGCCTAAAAGTGCCTTGTCGTGAAACGTCTGCATGTTTTAAAAAAATAAATATTTTTGTACACAAAGTTAAAGGGGGGATGCACTTTAAAATCACAAGAATGGGTGTCTTTTGTGTGGTGTAAGAGAGTAGGTTGTCTGTATCTCAAATGCGAAAATATAATAAAGGTAGAAAAAACAAAACTGAAACTGTTCTATTTTAAAACTGACTCTATTCTGGGAGTCAGTTAGAGGCTGAGAATTTTTTTTATGATTTTCTTTTCTTTCTTTCTTTCTTTCTTTCTTTCTTTCTTTCTTTCTTTCTTTCTTTCTTCCTTCCTTCCTTCCTTCCTTCCTTCCTTCCTTCCTTCCTTCCTTTCTTTCTTTCTTTCTTTCAAGTTCTATGCCCAACGTGGGTCTTGAACTCAAAACCCCAAGAGCGAGAGTCGCACGCTCTACCAACTGAGCCAGCCAGGCACCCCTGGGGAGAATTATTTTCAATCTGTATGTTTCGACATACAGAATATAGGTTTCCAGAGGGATGGACTGCAATCAGTGGCTGAGTTGAAAAGCTGTGAGACACACAGGAAGGGTGGTAAGGGTGGTAATTGCTTTTGAAGTTGTCACAGCAGTGAAAGCTGGTCATAGTGACAGAAATAAGTGCTAGGGAAGAAGCACAGGGCCAGTGTTGTTCAGAACCCATTTTTACTGATCTGAGGGCATGTCTCCTACCCTCTCATTTGCTCTTGAAGCATATTTTTGGTTTTACTGTTTTTTTTTTTTTTAATGTGTGGGGTTTGTTTTGAGAGAGAGAGCACACAGGGCAGGGGCAGAGAGAGAGGGAGACACAGGATCTGAAGCGGGCTCTGCACAGACAGCAGAGAGCCCAATGTGGGGCTCGAACTCAACAAAGTACGAGATCATGACCTGAGCCGAAGTTGGATGCTTAACCAACTGAGTCAATCCAGGCTCTTTGGTTTGCCTTTATTTTTTATTTTTTTTAATTTTTTTTTTCAACGTTTATTTATTTTTTTTGGGACAGAGAGAGCATGAACCTAAAAGTGAGGGGGCAGAGAGAGAGAGGGAAAAGACACAGTAATCGGAAAAAGGCTCCAGGCTCTGAGTCATCAGCCCAGACACGCGGGGCTCGAACTCACAGACCGCAAGATCGTGACCTGGCTGAAGTCGGACGCTCAACCGACTGCGCCACCCAGGCGCCCCTGGTTTACTGTTTTTAAAGGTGGAAAAACTGTAAATGCCCATGGTAGCTTGTAACTACTTACTCAAACTATAACCAGCAAAACGGACCAGCTCCTGGTGGGACCTCTTCTCCTTTGGGTGTCAGACATTCGCCCTAAGTAAGATTTCCAGGGACGTTTTGGGGTGCCTGGGTGGCTCAGTTGGTTAAGCATCTGACTTCAGCTCAGGTCATGATCTCACAGCTTGTGAGTTCAAGCCCCACGTCGGGCTCTGTGCTGACGGCTTAGAGCCTGGAGCTGCTTTGGATTCTGGGTGTGTGCGTCTCTCTCTCTCTGCCCCTCCCTGCTCGCATTCTGTCTCTCTCTCAAATATAAATGATAAAACATTAAAAAAAAAAAAAGATTTCTAGGGACATTTTATTTCAAAGTTCAGAAGATGGGACAGAGGGAGAGGCAAATTGTTGCCAGATGTTTCCTGTAACTCGGGCTGTGCCGCACTGCAGAAGGCAGTGGGGTTCTGCAGTGGGGAGGTAGAGCCTGTTAAACCTCAGCACCTAGTAAATAAACGCAAAAAAGGACCTACACACATAACTGCCTTCCTCAAGACTGCCAGGCACTGCCCACAATTGGCCTTTGCAGAAATGGGCAGGGGGAGGAAAGTAACAGTGGTTTCTATGAATGTCTATTTGAGATTCAGTATGGTTTGCATAATCCTTAAAGAAGTCTAACTTAGGAGACAGACAGCTCCGAGATGGCTGGAGGAAATTAACAACAACAGAACAAAACACTCTTCTAGGGCAGTGTCCCCAGAATAGCAAACACCCAGTCCTGAATTACTCTGAACATTTACTGCTTATCTATCATGTGCAAGGTGGTGCTAGATGCTGCTTCTACCCAAACCCTGTAAGAGACATTCATGTTCAAGGTGAATCCTCTCATAGCCAAGAAAAGCCGTGGGTTATGCTGTGTGTCAGTATTAGGATTTGAGAAGCCTGGGCTCTGGCCTTGACTCTGCCGTCCCCTTGTCATGTGCTCTCCTGAAGGGGCTCTGAGTGTTTCCAGCAGGGATAAGGTTAAGGATAACGATACTGAGTACTTAGGAGCCAGCCAACACGTTCGTTTGAAAAATGCTCCTAAATATAAACTTGTGAGAAATACCATGTATGCTGCCTACATTCTTCATAAGAATCACAGGAACGAATAGCATTCCAGACAACAGCTTGGACTTCATAACACCCGTGTTCAAGCTGAAGAGACACCAGCTCGTTTTCATGGGTAAAAGGTATGAAGGCCCTGGGTGTGTTTCCTAAAGTCACATACCCAGTCAGTGGTAACGCCATGGATGACCACATGGGTCCTTTATTCTTTTTCCAAGAATTCTCCCTGTAACACTAGAGTCACTCTCACAGAACTGAGA